AAGTAGCCGGAATTACAGGCATGCGCTACCATGCCCAGCTGATTTTTTGATTTATTGTCGAGATGAGGTCTCGCTGCACAGGCGGGTCCCGAGGTTTTTTCTTTTGATATGGTCTCATGTACATGAAGGTTTTGGCTTTTTTTTTTCTGTCATCAGAATCTCACTCTGTTAACCAGGCTGGAGTGCAGTGGCGATCCTTCTGCCTCAGCCCTCCAAGTAGCTGGAACTACAGGTATGGCCACCACACCTGGCTAATTTTTAAAATTTATTCTAGAGATAAGGTCTTGCCATGTTACCCAGGCTGGTCTCGGATCCTTGAGCTCAGGCAGTCCTCTCTCCTCTGCCTCCCAAAGTGCTGGGATTACAGGCATGAGCCAGTGCGCTCGGCTAGGTTTTGGCTTTTATGCTGCAGTGGCTGTAGGATTTCTGCCAATAGGAGTGCGTTGGGCTCCTGGATGGTTTAATCGTTCTAGCCTTGGTAATGTGGCTGTCTCTCCCCTCCTCCCCACAGGAACATCATTCATGGCAGCGACTCCGTGGGGAGTGCAGAGAAGGAGATCGGCTTGTGGTTTCAGCCTGAGGAACTGGTAGATTATAAGAGCTGTGCTCAGAACTGGATCTACGAATGACGGGAGGGAGACCACAGTTCTTTTCCACCCACTTCCCTTCCTTTCTGTGGGCAAAGGATCAGGCTGTAGCAAACGTAGTTATTTACAGGGACTTCCTTATCATTTGGAGGGACATTCTTGGAGCTGTGAGTGCTCCCTGTACAGTGTTATATGCTACCATTCGATTAAAATGTCTCATCCCAATGTCAGATTTCTCGTGGTTTACTTTGTTTTTGTTTTTTTTTGAGTTGGAGTCTCACTCTGTCGCCCAGACTGGCCGCTCCCGGCCACCGCACCCTCGACCTGCTGGGCTCCAGCGATCCCTCCGCCTCGGCCTTCCAAGTAGCTGGAACTATAGGCGCGTGCTACCACACCCGGCTCATTTTGATTTATTGTAGAGATGAGGTCTTGCCAAGTTGCCCAGGCGGGTCTCGAGCCCGCGGGCTTAGGCAATCCACTCACCTCAACCTCCCAAAGGTGCGGGATTACAGGCTGAGCCACCAAACCCGGCTCGTGGTTTACTTTGTATTGTTGTATTACTTTTTTTCTTTTCATTTCATATATGTTGAATAATGTGAGTTAATAGAGTGTAAGAACTATATAGAATATTTATTAGGAATACAGCTATCTTTTTTATTTCATTTAAAAAATTAAAACTTTGAGACAGGGTCTTGCTGTGTCACTCAGGCTGGAAAGTATTGGTGCAGTCATAGCTCACTATAGCCTTGAACTCTTGGACTCAAGTGATAATCCCACCTCAGCCTCCCAAGTAGCTGGGACTACCGGTGTGTGCTACCACACCTGGCTAATTAAAACTTTTTTTTGGTAGAGATAGGGTCTTGCTATGTTGCCTGTGTTGGTCTGGAACTCATGGGCTTTAAGTAATCCTCCCAGCTTGGCTTCCCAAAGTGCTGGGGTTACAGGCATGAGCCACCGTGCCTGGCCCTATATGTTATTTATATTGGCTTCAGAGGTCTCACACGTGTATCTTTTGCCCTTCTCCCTGCCTATCCTATCCACTCTTGACACAGCTAGTCAATGCATCTGTAGAAGATCTGCCGGGTGGCCAAGACTACTGAGTGAAGATGATTCATCAGAAATAAGACGGTAGCTGGGCACAGTGGCTCATGCCTACTTGGGAAGCCAAGGCAGGAGAATCACTTAAACCAAGGCAACACAGTGAGACTAATTAAAAAAAGGCTGGGTACAGTGGCTTATACTGGTAATCCTAGGACTTTGGGAAGCTGTGGTAAGATCACTTGAGGCCATAAATTTGAGACCAGCCTGGACAACATAGCCAGACCTTGTTTCTAATATAGATATATATGGTATATATACTGTG